CCTAGAGCTCTTAAAGCCTTACTGGCTATTGCCTCAACATGAGCATTCCATGAGAGGTTGTGTGCAAGATGAACTCCTAAGTATTTTATTGTGGTCACATTTTCCACTAGCCTATTGTTTATTACGTAAGAATGCAGCTCAGGTTTCGTAGTTCTTGTAAATTGAATATACTTTGTTTTTGAAACATTAATTTCTATTTGCCATTGGTAGCACCATCGGGTGATTTGGTTAATGACAGACTGCAGCGCACTCATATCGATATGACTAGTAATTTGTCTGTAAATTATACAATCATCTGCAAAAAGTCTGATTGGGGATGACGATTGATTACTTATATCATTTACGTAAATTAGGAATAGGATTGGCCCTAGCACGGTACCTTGCAGAACACCTGATTTTACCTTTACTAATGGAGACAAGGTATTATTAACAAAAACAGACTGATAGCGATCGAACAAGAAATTAGCAACCCATTTACAGATATTGGGGTTGATGTTCAGGGTGCTCAGTTTTATATTTAGGCGGTTATGGGGGACCTTGTCGAAGGCTTTGGCGAAATATATAAAGAGAGCATCAACGTCTGTTTTATTATGTATCGCTTCGTGAATATCGGTTATTACCGTATTTACTCGCGTAATCCTCGCACTCGCATAATTCTCGCACCCTCTACATCGCCCAAGAAAAATACGTTGTTTTTTTTTCCTTGAGTAATTATCGCACCCCCGAAAACTCCCGCAATAATGTCGTCTGCTCGTTACAGCCACTGATGATGATAGCGTGCGCTATCTGGCGCTATCTCTTAAGCATCAAGCGTACTATTGCACGGAGATTCAATCTAATCCAAGCCAAGCCGAAGTGGCCAGTGCCCGTTGCGGCGTGTTTTGTATGTTGTGTCGGTAATCTTGGCATGTTATGGGGCGATACTGAAGCCACACGGCGCTTCAAGTTGCAAGTGATAGATCATGCGCTAAACAACGGCAACAGGGCCGCCGGTAGGCCCTTCGGAGCCTACGAGTTTTGTGTTCGCTACTGGTGACGGCAGCTGAAAGCCACCAAGACGCGTTGGGCCTGCTGTGTATCTAAAATTGGGATTGATGGTGAACTTTATTTCTTCAGAAGGAAACTGCGGACGATTTTGTTAAATAGCCATCAGCCCAATACTGACATGCTACGCTTACCTTTTGAGGGCTCCTGTTGAGCGCCGACCGCTACCGCTACGCCCACAATGCCCACAAGCTTCGCGTATGGTATTGGTGGTGGTGGTGGTGGTGGTGGTGGTAGTGGTGGTTAGAGGATGAGGAAAGGCACCTAATTTTTGCAACCCGGTCGGGAGCACGGCGCAGTGCCTCGTATAGTATTCTAATTCTCGACTGTTTGCTTCAACTTTTTGTGTCACAAATAAATCTTGCCTTGTGTTGAACCTCTGCTTTTATTGTTGAGGCAAGCTCTAATTAGTACTTCTTAAAGCTTGCTGTAAGTTGCTGGCGTGAGAATCCCGATTTGCGGCCACTTCGTTTTCTTTTTCGCTCTCTGGGTTTTCATGGAAAGTTTTCCCCGCGTAATTCCCGCACCCCCCAACTTTGCATCAGTTTTCTGGCAAAAAAAGTGCGAGGATTATGCGAGTAAATACGGTAGTTCGAATAGTTGAGTTTCGCATGAAAGGCCACACTAGAAACCATGCTGACTTGGTAAGAATTTGTTCAAGGCTAGATATGTCATAACTGCAGATGATGTAATGTGCTCTAAAAGTTTACATGCTATGCTCGTTAGTGAAATTGGTCAATAGTTACTGAGCATAGAGGGGTATCCTGATTTAAAGATAGCAGTGATGGGGGCAATTTTCCAGGCATCTGGTACGCTACCACTATCAATAGATTGCTGAAAAAAAGAACCTAGAATGTGAGAAATAACAGGCTTTGTTATTTTTAGCATTTTGGTGCAGATGCTGTCCGGGCCGGGTGCCGAATTGTTTGGGAGCCTTTCGATAGCTCATTCAATACCTTGGTGTGAAATATTTAAATAGTTCGTGACCGAATCTAAAGTCGTGAAATTAAGGTCAGATGGAATGGGATGTGTGCATACTGAACCAAAAAAGTTATTTAGTTTCGTTGCAACACATGATGGTGAAAGAAGTACACCATCCTTGGAAATAGACACTTGTGATGACAAAAAAGTTTGGGGTTAATTACCTTCCAACATTTTTTTGTATTTTCCCTTAAGAGCGTTGTTATATCATTGTTGAAGAATTTGTCTTTGGCTGCTTCGATTTCTGTCTTGCATTGCTTGGATTGTTCACAGTAACGCTCCCATCACTATCGTATCCCGACTGTTTGGCTTTCGAGTAAAGTCTTTTTTTTTTTTTTTCATTTATGCTGCGTTTGACATGCAAGTTGAGCCAGGCGCTCCAGGTTGACGTTGTCACTTCAGTTTTAGGGATATACTTTTCTTTTAGTTCAGTTAGCTGCGTCTGTATGAGATGCCAGTTCTCAGTAGTTGTGCGCAGCGACAAGATGCGCGAAAATTCCCAAGAAAAAGACGACAGTTGATTTATAATCATATCAACATTAGCGCGCGTGTAGTTGTAGATTGTTTTCTTTGGCTTTTCTGGCTTTTTGTTCTCTAAAGTATATTCACAATGAAGCACATTGTGATCACTGATATTGTCTAAAACATTCACAAGTACATGATCGGGCTAGGTAGTCAGTACAAGGTTTAAAATAGCATCACCGCGAATCGGCAGTACAACCATTTGTGTCAAATTTAACAGGGCTAGTACATCAAGAAATTCCTGATGGTCAGAACTTCCTGCGCCGCCTTTGGGTGTACACGTCTGCCAGTTTATGCCTGGGTGATTAAAATAACCTGCCAAAAAAATAGGGGACCGGGGATAACTGCATTGTATGAGGCTGAGCGAATCGTTCAGTTTTTCATTGAAGTCGGCTGGCGAGTTTGGTGTACGGTAACATACTCCGACAGCACAGGTTACAAATGACGATAACTGTAGTGCGACCCATAAAATTTTAATGGTAGCCTCTGTTTCAAATATGTGAGCGTTGAAGCTGTTTTTTACAGCAACTAACACACCACCGCCCCGAGAGCCCGTTCTATCTTTTCTAAAGACTGGGAAATTATTCGACAGTGATAGCTCAAAGTTAGCCACATCTGGGGACAGCCATGTCTCTGTACCAAGTACCAAGTACGATGTCGGCAGAGCAGCCCTCAATAAAAGAACACAGGTGGTACTGTTTATGAAAAATGCTTCTGAAGTTCGACACAATCAAAGATAAGGTTCTACTTCTGCAATGCTGTTTGGGTCATGTCGTTAGCGCAGGCGCATCCCGCCTCGAAAGTGGGACGACCGTATTGCTCGAGTTATTATAGGTATATAGTTTGTTACCCAAGAACAGTTTATCGAACCGCAATCTGTACTTTTCGTTAGGTTTACGTTCAGCGTGTGATAAGTCCCGAAGCCTTTTCCTAATAAGTTGAATTCGTGGTGAGAAATCTTCTTCTATCCAAACGGACGGAGATGCAAGATATTTAAGTTTTGACGCACTTTGCAAGATGGTGCTCTTGTCCTTGAAATTCAAGAATTTCACCATGATTGGGCGATTCTTACGGGGTGTTTGTTGACCTATTCTGTGTGCACGTTCAATTTCACCAATGTTAACGCCAAGGTTACGCAAAACGAACTTGCTTATAAGTTTTTCCGTATTGTCGCATTTTTCACCTCTTTGTTCAGGCACTCCTTTGAATATCAGATTATTTCATCTCAGCCAGTTACTCAGTCAACTACAATACTAGCTTGTTCAAAACTGTCCTGAGCCAGTATTTTGGAGATGAGTTTTGACTTGAATTTCAAGGACAGGGCGAAGTGCCGGCACATTGGAGCTCTTGAGGTCAGCTTTTACATCATCTAGCGCTGAGGTTAGAGCAGCAACACCTTCCTGAAGGATGTCTATATCTTTGGGTATTCTTTCTAGACTGGATATTCGTCTTTTTTCACCTGGGATGCCTGCTTGCATATCCTTTAGCTTACCTATTACATCCCTTTGAAATTTCTCGTTTGAAGATGCCAACTCCTTCATGAACGTTAGTAGGTGATCTATCTTATCCGGCCCTGGATTAGTCTAAACATTTCCAGAGTGAACAATGAGATGCGACAGGCAGAACAGGACAACAAGAAGCCTACTACCCACATCCAAAGAACAGCAGATTGTTCTCAGCCTGAGCCACACAGGTGAATGTGTTCAGACGTGTCAACTTAATTCTACGAAACAACCAATTCAAACACGGTATGTGCAAATATCAATACCTATGTCTATTTACACAGTAATCACTCGGTGGGATTTGCGACCAAAAAGCATAAGGTCAAGTCGGTTACAAGACTCAAACTCATTTTAAAGAAGCGAGCAGACTTCGTTAGCATCAGTTGCCTGGCCGCAAATCTCTCCGGCTGGTAGCTTACGTGTCTTCTTATAGGCAAGAGGCTTGAGGGCGCTCCAGTAGGGATAGAAGCACCGCTATAATGATGATGATTAGCGCTAGACTTCACTACGCACTTTTTTTTCCTTTTTTTCTTTGCTGGAGTTGCAAGAAACCGTATCTTTATCGCAGTTGCCTCAAAAAAGCTGTTGGTTGGAGTGCTTTATGCCAGCCACACCTACTTTGGGAACTTGAATGAACTTCACACTCTCGTCATCAGTGGAATGGGGAACAACAGCGCAGCGTGTCGCAGTTTCGCTGCTCTGGCCGCCAGTCACTTGAGCTAATCTTTTTCTGTTTTGACTGTACTGAGTTGAGTACTCAGCGCCACGTGCACCCACTGGTTTTTTAATGGGGAGAGAGGTACCCCAGTCTTGGTGTCTCCAAAGTGTCAAGGGTGCCTGCTTGCCAACTGCTCCCGGCTGCCTCTTGTTGATCGCTCATGCTTTGCTGCTGCTCATTCACCCATACCGGGAGAGCGCTTTCGGAGAAATATCGACATCTATATTTTACAGGTACAAGAGAGAGCAGCTGTTGATTCCCGCCTATGATCATGAGTACAGGCATGGATTTCAGCACATCATGCCAAGGTAATTTTTTGGCTGGTGACTACATCTGCCTGTCACAAATGTCATTTAAAGTCTGTCATGCCTGCATAAGTAAAGCCTTGTTAATACATACACACTATAAATGTACTAACGGTTTAAATGTAGTTGCTGCGAGCACCTGACCAAGTGACCATACAGCCTATTAGATACAATGACAGCCTGAACTGTGGGGGCTCATTCTATGCCTACAAGTCTGTGCATCCTGTTACAACTTTTCATCGTGTTAACATTTAATTGCACTGTTCAACTCTCATTGCAGTCAACAGCACACTGTTCAACAACAGATGTCTTTTTCTGTATATGAAGGGACCAATTTGGCTGGTATTTCGACTTCGGCCAATGCCTCTATAACAAGATGCCTGGAACATGAGCCGCAAATCCGCTGCCCTTTCCTTGTCTGTTCTCTCCTCCCTGTGGTACTGTGGCTAGTGATTCTAGCGGTGTTTCCTTGCAAAAGCACTAACAGCTATTGCAGCTGCATCGAAGCAGCTGTTAGCATCATGCTTTGTAACTTAGTGGTATGGTGGCAAGCACTCATCAGGAGGCCTGGTCACAACATGCTGCAAGAGGTGCAGCCTACGCTATCAGCTCTGGCAGGAGGCTCTCTATGGAAAAGTGAATAATGTTCCAGGCATATAGTTAGAGGAGGCGTTGCTATTACACTGGTGCAGTGATGCATGTACAATAGCCAACTGATTTTCCAAACCTAGTGAGACCACAAAATAGCCGAAAAGGTGTGAACACATGACAATGAAGTTTATGGGGGTACATAACACTGGGAATGGTAAATTTGGTCAAAATGTTGAATTTTTAATCTATTTTTTGTGCAATCCGGAGACAATGTTTTACATCATAGTGGAATATTTGGCCAATATATGTAGCATAAGTTGAGAAAAAAAGCGTTTCACTCATGGGCTGTCTAAAACGCTCTGAGGAAATTGGCTTCAGAAAATGCAAATTTACAGCTTTCCCTTGGCACAGTGCCACTATATTGATATTGGTGAGTGCCATAAAGCTGTCTATATTCGTGTGCACAATATACAGATTTTTATACAGTTGAACCCTTTTATAAGAGACACTGATGTAAGAGACAAGAGACGCCAGTGTGCCTGCAGTAAAATACGGGTTAATAAAGAAATGAAGACATGGTACCCTGCTTACAAGAGACATCTCATATCAAAGACAAGAATGTTTCTTATAAGAGCATGTTTCTTATAAAGGGGTTCAACTGTAATTGGCTTTTGTAAAGAATGGGCTCTTGTGAATATCCTCATGTAAAAATTTTAACAAACTTCGATTCATTAATTAATTTCGGGGTGACAATGCAAGTCTATAAACTCATAAACTACAGTAGATAGCACACCAAATGGCATCAGCACACCAAATGGCATCTTCGTGCAAAATTTCATGACTTTATCTCCATAAATAACAAAAACAGTTTTCATTGCCACGTTCCTTCTAACTGGATTAGAGCAGCCTAAAAACACACAAGTGATTCTCTGCGTCTTGCTACACTTCGGAACAAGCAGATGTAGTTGTATTTGGGCTACGGTGGCATCGTCAGCGCGTTGGTGGCACCGTGGCACCAAGCAAACAAAGCATTCATAAAAAGGTGCACGCAACGTCTCATCTGTTCCATGGGATTTAACGATCCGGCCTATGGTTCTTCAATTTACACTGACATCGCAGAGTATGCGAGCCTCCAGCATTTCGCCTTCATTGAATCACTACCACCGTGGCCATGATTGGTCAGTAGCCGAGCACTGTAACCACTGAGCAACTGCAACAGCACAGAACATGCAACGTGCACAGTGGCTGAGAAACACCTGACACACCACCAACACAACCACGTGTGGAATGACAACCGGAAAAAAACAAAATGCACAAAAAAGCCTACTGAGAAAGAAAAGTTACGTCCCCTGGAGTGTTTTGCCTGCCAAGGAAGATTCAACACAGCTCCCACAAATGAAAGATTGTGCGCATTTTCGATCCTGGAGGTGACGTAACTGGCCTTTCTTAGCCAATCTTGACCAAGCCAGCGGAAAATCCAACATGGCGGCTTTCAAAATCAAGTGGCATGGCTCAACACAAGTGAATGAGTCAGAAAATTTGAACTTTAAGACATAAATTTATAGATTTGTTCAAAAAACGTATCGTAAAAATGTGTTAGGGCTTTAGAAACCTTTACAGTGCATTTGTAAAGGCCAAAATATCCATGAAGTTCAAAGTTTTGGAGTTCGAAAAAATTTATTGGCAACTGTATAGCATCAGAGATGCTTCAAAGCATGATGGGAGCCACCAACAAAAAAGCTAGTACGAATAATGGCCTTCATCCTTGTCATGATAAGCATCGGCTATCTTCTATGCATAACAGGCATCACACCGTTGGTATGTACAGGCCCGTCAAAAGTTCACAGGCCACACTGCGATAGGAATACAAGGCATTGTGACCGTGGGGCTTTTTAAGGACCCTGTACTTCATAGCAAATGACCTAAACGTGCTGCACTGCCATTTGCTGCCACATCTTTCTGGGAGCGGGACCTCTAGTACACCACAGAAACACAGTGTACATTGTTTGCACAAACAAAAGCAGCTTGCCATCACTGTATTGGCCCAGGGAGGTGCCTCCCACGTGCAGGAGTGGTGCAGGTGCAAATAAACCTTGCTGTGCAAACATTCCCACAGCAAATGTGTATACATATAAAGCTTGTTAACTGGACCCTCATTAATTAAAGGATTGGGTAATTTGGATGTGTTCTCAGGTCATGGCCATTGTATACATGACTTAATTGCATCAAACTCTCATTTAATTGTAATATTTGACCCTGACCCAGTTAATTTCAATGATCCTGGGAGCGAATCTGAAGGGCTACCAATTTGCGATGCAAAAGAGTGAAAACTACATTCGCAGCCAGCTGAAACGGCATGATGCAGTTCATATTGCCATTATCTTATCATTGCAAACCGTATATGGTATAGACAGTAATACCCCTGTCACACGGGCACTTAAAAATCTTTTAAGTAAGCGGTCTTTTTCCGAAAAGGAGTTCCTGACAGCAGACATACGGCACAGAGCGAACTCCTTTTCAGAAGCGGTCTTTTTCGTAAACGGCGTTCGTCGATCTCTTTTATGGCTCTGAATGAGTAGCCTCGAAACCAGTGGGCGCCAGCAATTTTCGAGTGGTGGAAAAAAAAGAGCGAATGCTTATTTTTCTGTCACCAAAACTCTTTGTAAAAACAAATTTCATATCCTGCACAAGGTGTAATAAACTCTTTTAATGGTTATTTCCTTTTCTACTCTCGTAAGCAGCTACAACGCGTCGGCGATATCATGTGGTGACGCTCGGTCTTGCGCTGCTTTATCCTCTCCTTGGCGGCTTTTGCAGCGTCTGCCTCGCTTTCCAGAGCGAGAAGGCAGGCCGTGAGGCTTGCGATCCTCGCTTTTTCTCTTGTACGGTCGCCCATAACGTGTCGAGAACAGTCGAGAGCAGCGAAAAACAAATACGGTAAATAAAAGCACGGTGGTGCCAGACGGACTTGTGCACGTCGCTAGTTATGGGAATGCTTCCTTATCTTGTGCAAAAAACTTTCACATTGGTGTTTCTTCATCTCTTATTCTTAAATTTATTTGAAGAAACGAGCAGTGCAAAAAGTCTAATTTGTACATCGTGATACATCGTTTAATTTTCATTGCTTCTCTTTTAACTGCTAGCGCCACGCTTTCGCTAGCGTCTTCGAACGAAAACACTAAAAGGAGATCATTGCTGCCGTGTGTCTGCGCCGCAAACACCTCTTTGTTAAAAGTCTTTCAACTTCGTAAAAGACCGCTTACTTAAAAGACTTTTTGCGCGCCCGTGTGACACAGGTATAAAGCCAGAACGCTTCATGCCTATTTGCATTTACTAGTGCGTGTGACGCCTCGTTGGCTGCAGGCACTTGAAAAAGCGTGTTCGCCATTCACAATTCGTTCTTGGCGACCAAGGCTTCAGCAGCAGTGGACAGTGGACAATTTCTCTCGTTTATTAGTGAAGAGAAGCTCTGTCACTTGCATGTGGTGGTAGTGATGGTTGTGACAGTACGCGGTAAATTAGGGGTGGAAAGCATGTATCGGTTTAATTGTGACATGGGGGGTCTAGGGCTATAGTAGCATTGTGAACAAAGTTCCAGAATGACTACTATGATTGTGGTTTTTACCCTGCTCCTATAGAAAGTACAGCATTTAGTATTCGGCAAGAAAGTGAAAATGTGCTAATGCATTTGCTTAGTTTTTTCTTGATACTTTTCGATAATTCAGAATTCGGTTAGTTTTAACATTTTTTTCTGATCTTTTGAAGCATGAATGAAACAGCTTTTACAATATATACGTTACAGCAAGCATCCCTACAGTGGTAGCATGAACTTAATAGGTTATGCGATGTTCACAGATAGCTCGAGATTGTTGGCTCCATGCAGCAGCATGTACCGCAATTCATTGAAGTGGCACTGGTTTTTGCTTTGTTGCTGATCACTGTGCAAAAGTACATTCATGCATTGAGAAAAGTCATATGAGCCATTGGTTAACTCCACTGCCATGCTGGCTGTTGTGACTGTATTCACACGTGCTAATTTAGGAATGTTCCTTTGCATTGTTGCCGCACACTACCGCAGGTTCATGTGAAAGAGCCAGAATTTTTTTTTGCACTTTGGTAACTAGAAATAAAAAGGTTATAATAGGTAACATTTGCTATATTTATTTTTCAGTGCAGTTGGCATGTGCCGGGAGACAGAAATTTTTACTTGACCTACTACCCTTTGTTGCACAGTTGCACCGCATTCTTGGCACTTACTGCCTCATTCTTGGCATTCTGGACAGTATTTTGAAGGCCTTCCATCTAAGTTTAAATTAGGTTTTAATTAAAGTTTGTCTCAGCAATATTGAAATACTAATGAAAGCATGTGGTCAGCTATGGTGGAGAGGAAGGTACAGTGAAACCTCGTTAAA